TAGCCCTAAAAAGCTGTGCTTATCTCCCTCACCTGACATGGTGGATACTCCTGTCCCTAGTCGAAGATAATTTCTCCATGATGCTTTTTCAGAAGGGAACTTTTCTTTTGGCAGAAGTAGTAAGCCTGTATCACTCAAGCATGTAGACTCAGAGTTTTATATTATATCTCTGTATATAATGTACATAGTCAAAATAGGCATATGTAGGGAGAATTTTAACCCCCAATCTTTTCCCGGCCTGCAAAGACTGTTATCATCAGTAGACCTTCCCCTCTCCAGTCTAACCCTGGTGCATTCATACATTTGGGCTCCAAAGTGCTCGGCGAACAGATAACCTATCTTACTAATGAAGTACAGGTATGTAAGTAATTTCTTTCTCTTTTCAGATAAGCAACCCTGGTTTTCAAAATGACTCACAAATATTTTCTCTGAAGGAAGATGACAGGAATCCTAACCTTAAAAAAACAGCTAAAAATAGCAGTTCTAGAGGTAGATGTGCTTATGGATTTTTTTAAAAAAGTAATTCTGGTGTTTAGAATATAGCACTATCCTGGAATACTGTTCTGGTATATACTTTGATACTAATATGTATGTATGTAAGAAACAGATTTGATTATTTTGCTTATTATTTTTACAATACCAAAAAGCATTTCTTTAAAAGTAAGGGTGGGATCTGAAATAAAATGTTGTGTGTCTTACCTCTCTCCTAAAATAAGATCAAGTCTTCCTGTTAGCCCTTTCCTCCAAAACAAGACATTCTATTGAATCCTGCATGAGTCCCTTATTTAAACAGCTATATTTTTGTTGTTGTTCAGTCATTAAGTCGTGTCTGACTCTTTGTGACTCCATGAACCATATCACACCAGGCCTTCCTGTCCTTCACTGCCTCCCAGAATTTGCTCAATTTCATGTTCATTGCTTCAGTGATGCTGTCTAACCATCTCATCCTTTGCCGTCCCCTTCTCCTTTTGCCTTCCATCTTTCCCAGCATCAGAAACAGCTGTACTAGTTCTAGCTATTTTCTGGGTGCAATTCAAAGTGCTGGCAATGTTCCTTAAAGCCCTGAATGGTTTGTTGTTGACTGTTCATGACCTGATGAACATCATTTTGTCTGTCAGTAATGGCTTCTTTGAGTTTTTGTAAGCTCATGCTTGTGTTAACAGTGACACCTTGTCTTCTGTTACCCTCTTTTTCAATTGCCTTTGATTTTTTCAAGCATTAGGGTCTTCTTCAATAACTCTTAGCTTCATGTTATGTGACCAAAATACTGAAGGTTTAGCTCATTTTTAGGGCTTCCAGCAAGCAATCTGGTTTTACTTCATCTAGTACTGAATTATTTGTTCTTCTTGTGGTCCAAGATATTCTCAACAATTTTCTCCAGCACCACAATTCAAAGGCATCAATTTTAATTAATTCAGCCTTTCTCATGGTCTGGCTTTCAGCCACATGTTGCAGCTGGGGAAACCATGGCTTTGGCAATACATATGAATGGTTTGGTGCCAAGATATTTGAAGGGCTGCCTCTTCCATATGAAGTTGCTAATCCACTGAAATCATCTTCAGACAGCTCCTTGTTTGTCCCTACAACTTCTGAGAGCCATCTTGTTGGCCTGATGCTATGAGATAGGCCTCTCTCACTTTTCCATTAACCACCTTTTGGAAGTTAGTGTAAAAAAAAAACCTTCCTTTTTCTTTAGGATAGTCATCCTGCTTTTTCCTGCTGTTATTTTTATCAAATGACCATTTTATTATTTTAAATATTTTTTATCACTGCTATAGGGATTCTGTAGTGTTTTATCATGTTATATTGTGTTTACTGATGTGAACTACCTAGAATTATACAAAATATAGGGAAGATATGTTTTTCATTTTCCAACAGTCAAGCGTCTAACAACAATATTCAGTCTTTACTGGTCTGTTTCTTGCTCCTTTAATTATTATTTTTAACTTTTGGAGACCTTGATTTTCTTCAAACTTTTTTTTTTTAATTTTCATTGGCCCTAATCTTATCAGCATTTGCTGACTGAATATGCTTGTCTACTGGCTAAAGTTGTTGTTTTTTCAGAAGGTCTGTTATATTCTTTATTATGGCTGATACCTATTAATCAATATGGAAAAGATCATCCTTGTAAAAACTGTAACACTGTTCTCAAAAGAGGTTATTTTGATCATGGGCTATGATTAAGTGATTACTAGACTCAAGCATGCACCACAGACTTGGAGGCCAATTGGACCAATCTGCCCTACTCAGAAATGTGTTTCTGAGCAGATAGTCTTCACTTACTGTCCACTATTGTGACCAGCAATTCCATCGCTAAGCCACATGGTCGTAAAGTGAAATATCAAATGACCACACCCAACTTATCAGTTCTGGCTGCAGTTATTAAGCAAATCACTGTGGGTCATTAAGCGTGACGTCACGTGACCATGACTTGCAACTTCCTGCTGGCTTCCCATTGACTTTGCTCATCAGAAGCCAGCAGGGAAGGTTGCAAACGGTGACTGCAGGACGCTGCAACCATCGTAAATGCACTCTGGTTGCCACATGCTCGAATTGTAATCACTTGACCACGAGGATACTGCAATAGCCAAGGACCGGTTGTAAATCTCCTTTTTCAGCACCATTGTAACTTCGACTGGTCACCGAATGAGCAGTTGGTAAGCGAGGATTACCTGTAGTCAAGTCCCTTTTTTCATCTCGGCAAGATATTTAAATCAAATAACTGTTCCCAAACTCCAAAAAGGACTAATATTGGCATGTTTAATCCCCTCCTAATAATTGTTCTCATGAGCAAATATTTAAAAATTCCATACAAGGTAACACTGGGCCTTTGTGGAGAACAGCTCACTGAATCTATTGCTCCTTCTATAAGGATGCAAGGACCTGCTTCATAATTCCTTATTTGATGAAGAACCCAGATAATTCTGACTTATTTTAGGTACAGCTACTCCTGTCAGAACAGTATGATTCAGTTTCCTTAAATGTGCCAACATTTTATTATACTGTTTGTAAAACTCAACATGCCTTGATTGCCTTGAGGATCTTCTTACAATGTTATGCTTGCATTTTATTTTACTTGAAACAAATGGTTCATTTCCTTTGCTAACTTGCAAAATTCTGGTCAGTGACCTTAATAAAGAACTAATTAACTGAATATGCTGTTAAAGGAATGGATACAAATACTCCACCAAAGGATTTAGTTTTGATATTCTTCCCTCACTTCCACCTTTGAAGTTTCCGCCCCAAGAGTACATGTTAATGTCACTATTGCAAGCCTATATCTATTTTCAAATGTAAAATTCTAAATGGTACAAAATCTGATTTAATGACTGCTTAAAAAAGGTAATGTACACTCTGAAAAGTTGCATCGATTTTTCTAAATTTCTGTTTCTTTTAGGTAATGCTACTGATTGTACCTGGATTTACAACATGGGGGAAAGATCTAATGGGATTTATTCTATTAAGCCCAATGGATCCAAGGCATTTAATGTTTATTGTGAAATGGAAGGAGGTATGGCTAGTTACACTAGCAGTCTTCTATTCTTCCTTTAGAACTCATCTTTATCTCCTGGAAAGCACTGATTTCCTTAAATATTTCTTTATTAAACAAATTTGCTGTCACCACTCTTATTTGCTAAGAATGTAATTTTAATCAAATAATCAGGCAGCATGAGATATTTGGATTTTTAACTATAATTGTCATTGTATTTATTTTAGAAAATACATAAATCATTAAGTCCAATTGGGTCAGACAAGTGCATATTATAATTGTACACATATCTGAATGGAGACTAAATTGCATAGACTGAAGTTCATATAGAGATGCAAATTCAGTCAACATTGTGCAAATAATTTCCTTTTTGTTAAAGTGTACTCTGGTTCTCTTCTGCATACAACTATATGCAGAGCATTCATGCAGAGACATAACACACTTTGCAAGCTCTAAAAATGATTTAAAACAATCAAATGGGTCAGATTAATAATTTATCATCTTCATCCACAGAAAACTCATGGACAATTATTCAGAAGAGATCTGATGGATCAACAGATTTCAACCAAACGTGGGAGAGTTATATAGATGGGTTTGGTAATCTTGATGGTAAATATATTTATTTTCCAGTTTACTCTAAGTAATGTTTATGTGCTTGTTGATGATAGTTTTTGAAAGGAGGAGAAAAACCCTAGACATAGGTAAATGAGATATGATTGGTTCATGTCCTTAGTTAAGGTTGATCTAGTTAAGGTAGAATTGTTTAACCTTTTCCCTCTCTTCAAACTTGTCTGTTTTAAATTCCTAAGCACAGAGCTTCACAGTCACACAACAACTTTAAATGTGCTGCAAGCACATTTAAATAGGTCTGATTACAAACAAGTCCAGATCTAACTACTCATAAATGTAAATCTGAATGGATTCTATTAATGCATACAGGTACCAACTTTTCTCAGTCTGGCACCCATGCAATTTGTTAAGACTATAATTTATAAAATGCCATGCCAAGTATCAGGACTACCATATTGGGGTTTCAGAAATCTGGATCATCACTAGGAAGCAACAAATATATATAGTGGCTGGATAGCATAGTGGTTAGAGTGCTGGCCTTTGATGCAGGAGACTAGGTTGAACCCTTACCAGTAGGGGTCCTTGGGCAAAGACCTCCTAATGCTTCACCTGGCTACCTCAGATATGAGAGCGACACAAACTAAGACAGCCATGCTGGCTCGGACATTGCCCAGATTAACAAGGTCTGCACCAGATGCTGGGGAACCAGGACAATCTGACGATAAGTGGATTACTGGAACAAGCTATACATGGATGAGACAAGAGAACCTGGAATTGATGGAATGCTACTACAACAGTAGACCTAATGAGAGGGGATATATGAAACGTAGTGGGGAACCATTAACAGCTTCTCCCAATTAGATGAGATGGATTGGGCTGATTCTAATGAAGGAATGTGAACCTGTAGATAACTTGGTTCCAAACCATGAAAGGTCACACCAAGCACTTTAAATTGCACCGAGGATATTATTAGGTAATTAGATTAATTTTAGGCTAATTACAATATTGATGTTGTTTTTACGCTAAACATTTTTCTGGTTTGGTTTTTACATTTCTAATTTTTTTATTTGCTTACTGAGATAGAAATACTTGGGTGTTCTATTATTTAGCTTATCCAAGAATATTTACGAAAACTTGAGAGGAATTAGAACAAATATAGAACATATAAATGCTAATCAGAACACTAGTCTTTCATCTTCCTTTTAAGCTTGATTGGTATATAATTAGAGTAGGTTAATAGACAAATAATTACCCTTTTCTAGCCTCCCTGTTTCCCCACACTGAGTGCATGATATAAAACAGAGTTTTTCAAACTTGGCAACTTTAAGATATGTGGACTTCAACTCCCAGAATTCCCCAACCAGCATGCTGGCTGGGGAATTCTGGGAGTTGAAGTCTACACATCTTAAAAGTTGCCTAGTTTGAAACTCACTGATATGAAGGGGATTTTAAGCAGGACTTAGTGCCCTGGATTATTCTGCCCTGGTTTGTGACACCAAACTGCCTTCCTAATTCTGCTATTGCAAAAACTCTCTACTCTTTGAATGAAAAAGTCTGCATGGAAATGCATTTCATCTATATGAGTGCAATTATAATTGCATATTAAACACAGCCAATGAAGACAATTTTTAATAATTTCCAATTTAATTTAACTTAAGCCATTCCCTTGCTTCTGAGGCACATTTTGCAGGAAAAACAATTAATCAGAGGAGCCAATGCACTGTTGACGAAAAGTTACTATTTGTTCATTATATTTATAAGTTGCCTATCATTAAAAGATATTAGGACAGTAATTCTAAACAAGAGTACCAATACTAACAACATGAATACAATCCTAAAATGAAAGGTAAACAGTACAATACACTATACTATTATGTGTACACAGTAAATACACAGGAAGGCAATCTGATCAACTTACTGTCCAGACAAATAGAAAAAAAATTGACCTGGCACTGAAATGACAGGAAAGTCACACCTTGGTTACACCTGCACAAGGAGGGTGTTCCATGATCTTCATTGCAAATTTAAGTAATAAGCCTCAAAATACATGCTTGGGAATTTGTCATGTGGAGACAGAGAAAACCTTCTGCTCTCATGGGATGACCTCAAAGCATAAAATCAGCTGTTGGGCTCCACTTTTCTCCTTGCTCCAGCATAGAGAATTGTGTTTTCTGGGCTTAAGTAGCCAATCACCCCGCAAAATCAGCAGGTGCAGGAATCCACCCATGTTTGCTCTGGTTAATCTCTGACTCTGAACTCAAGGCAGAGGCTAGTGAATACATTTCCAGCACACCTTGCTAAAGACTGGATGCAAGCTGCTTCTGCTTCAACAAATGTGCTCTATATAGGACAGGAATGCAGCCTCATCCCCTTGGCAAAACAGGAACTAAACAGCAGGTTATTTTGGCTACATCTGGGAGCTCTAAAGCTAGCAGAGCCTAAGAGTGCTCTCTGAGCAAAAACATCAAAAGGTATATGTGTGTGCATGTGTGTATACAATATGGAACGCATATGCATAACTTAGTTTTATTAAATGTTTAGAGTAATAGGCTAAAGTTTTGTATACCTAGTATACATTTTTGAGGACAGTATTTCTTCTGCTTTTTAGTTCCACAGCTAATATGTAAATGATATTCTGTACATGCAAACCTATGCATTCCTAGGAACTGCTGTCAAAACTCACATGATTTGCTTCCATTTTGTGCAATTATATACATTTTTATCAGCATTCCAGTTTAAGGATAACAAAATATAAGTATGCATTTCCATCCATTCATAAATCCCCATGCACACACGTTCAGTTACTAAAATTTTCAATGAGGAAGAAATGAAATGTTAGGATTTAACATTTTTTTCCCAGAAATGGCATAGAATGAAAATGATAAGGAAAAAGATAAGATCTTTAGCATCTCTGGAACCAGCATCATTAAGAATAAATTCTGAATTACAAAGGTCTGTAATGCCGACATGAGCAAGATCAAAGTGATATGTTGTAATCCTAACGGGCAGTTTGCAACATAAAATAAAAACTAATGAAGGATAATCTGCCGCAGTGAAGTTTAGACTCTAAAAGCTTATATAATATGTGTATTAAGTTTTTAAAAAGTTGCAAGACCTGTCTTTGCTGTAGCAGACTCATACAGCTATTCTGTTGGAAACTGTATTTTGTTAGAGTTTTCTCTGTTTCTCCTTTGTAGCTTAAACATGCTATGGCTTGTTCAGTGAGGTTTACTTCTGAGGCTTGTGCTATACGCAGTCTACTTAAAATGCTGAATTTATGTGTGTGATAATGTAGCAAATGAAACTACCCAAATATCAATTAAGGGTATTTTTCCCCCTCAAGGATGATAGTCCATTTCCACTGCAATTAACTTTCATAGATGCTGCTTGCTTCACTTATTACACAGATTCACTCATATACTTTCCTTGAGTATGACTTTCCTTTCCTTTTCAGACTTTTTCAAAGTCTCATTCTATTTATACTTAGTTTTAGTTTCCTGTTTTATTGTTCATTAATGCATACTCTAAAAGGGATTAATGAAATAAGCCATTTGCAGGTGATCCAAAGTTCAAGGACTTCCAAGATTCAAGTTGTCTACATATTGTAAGTCATGCAATTCCCAGATCTAACACTAATGATTACATCTTCCCTTCAGATCAGCCCTAATAGTTCTATTTGCGCCACTTGTATTTTCAGGAGAATTTTGGCTGGGCCTTCGTAAGATCTATTCCATCGTAGACCAAGCTGACTACATTCTACGTATTGAGCTTGAAGATTGGAGAGCTAACAAACGTCATATTGAGTATACATTCCAAATGGGAGGTCCAGAAAGCGATTATGCAGTCTTTCTCTCTAGGATTACTGGGAATATTCCAAATGCTCTGCCTGAACAGAAAGAGATTAAATTTTCTACAAAAGATCATGGCAACAACACTGAAAGAAAGCTTAACTGTCCAGAAAGCAACTCAGGTAGGTATTTTCTGTATATGTCAGTGTTTTAGGTGTTCTTATAATCTGGGGGAATAGTGGCAGGGGATGGGATTTAGTACTATACTAACAATAAAACGCTATGAGCCAAGAAGCAAATGAAGAAATCAAAGAGGATATATAGAAGAGGATTAAATTCAGTTAAAAAAAAAAAGTTTATTGCATGCAAAAAGCTAGTATATAACAGACAACCCAGTGCTATATCTCCTCTGTCCTACACAAAAGCTTTCCACACATGGAGATAATTTTTTAAAAATATCCAAGTGTATTATGTTACATTCTCTATCAGCCCAGAAACCATTATTTTATAGTTCTCCTGAACATGTGTCTCTAGATAACTTGGTTGGAGAAGGATTTCTTCAGAATACAATTGTCATCATCTATACCACCATGGCCAAAGGCCATATTGAGACTATGAGAATTGCAGTCCCAACACATCCAGGTTCAATAACTTACCAGATTACTATTAAGGACAGTTGAAAGCAGAACTTTTGTGGGAATCCCAGTCACACAGGAAAGGCCTTTTAGGTACCTAAAAAGGTTTTGTGTATTTCTCCATGTGGTTAACCTACTGGGATGTCAATTCAATGGTGTTCCAAATATCACCTTCAGGTGGCTGGTGGTACAGTGTATGTGAAGAAACGAACTTGAATGGAAAGTACGTCAGGCCAAGTTCAAAAGGAAAACTACGGAGGAACAAGCGAGGACTGTACTGGAAGCCTCAGAAAGGAAAATCTTATCTTCTCAAGTCAACCAAACTGATGATACATCCTACAGACTTTGAAACATTTCACTGAACATCATCATTCAAAGCTTACATAATAAATCACAAGCTACTTCAGTCCGAATCCAGTGACAGCCCTTTCTGGCGCTCAGAGAAAAGCAGATTAAGGATGTAATCAAACCATAATAATATTCTTTATTTGGATATATATCTCAGTGTGCTTTGTCCTGCTGTAGATGCTCAAGAAATAAGCAGAGTTTTGCTGTTAGACAAGGACAATTTTCTTTGAGGGCTATTTCAGCTGAGCCTTTCTTAGCATCAATGCTCAAGAAAGGGAGGAAAAATGGAAATACCTTAGAGAGGCAAGGGGAATTGCCATTGTTTCACTTCTGTGAAGTGTGGAATGGAAAAAAAATGTTTTGTTTCACAGAAGGATTAGGAAGAAAGTGCCATCAGATAAGGGATCACCATATTCATTTTTGCCAAAGATAGGAATGGAATCCATTCACTTCTATGGCCGAGATCAAACAGTCTGTTTTCAAACAGATGTGGAAAAAAAAACTTGCCACCAGGGATCTTCAAGCTTTAGTCAGAGGGGAAGATTTTTCTCCTCTGTTTAGTTTAATGCTTTATTCCAGTTCTATAAAACAAAATGTGGGCTGAAGTTGAGAACAGGAGTCTGCAACTTCTTTGCATCTAAGAGCCACAGAGGGAATGCGTCTTTTGAGCCTTGTGGAGTTCTTTAACAAAACAAAATAGGAGTGTGAAGTTTAGTGGATACTTAACATACCTATTTTCTTCACGTTAAAAAACAAATGAAAGTGTTGCATACATGGTCTGGGCAAAGATTCCAGAGACTGGGGTTGGCTGTATGTGGAATATGGACCATGGATTTTCCAGCCCTTGTTAAGCAGGAAGCAAAAGAGATGCCTAAAAGCAGAAGTCAGTTGAGGGGAAATAGGCAGGTTCTGTTGCTCTTAGCTATGCAGCTCTGTTCATAACCTGCCTATATCCCCCCAATCCAAGCAAAACCTTCCACTGAAATGAATTATATAAAATAAATGAGCCTCATGTTCAAAAAGTTCAGGTAGGACATAAAAGCTGATCCAATCTCACTGGGACTGCACAGCATTGCAAAGTGCACCCCTTTATTTCCTCTATATACAGCAGCCTTCCCTAGCCTTGTGTTCTCCATCTGTGGTGTCTACATGTATTAGGTCTATGTATTGACTAAGTTGACTGGCAATATGTCTATGTCACATTGTCTGCCATATTAAAAATTTTCACTGTGTGCACAACGTCCCTCCTCACTTTCATAGCAATTCCAGTTTCTTTTGTGATAATGGCTTCTTAAAACTGGCTGTGACTAAGAATATTTTCACATCTGTAACCTCAAGTAATTCCTTGTTATTTCAAAATTGTAGATGATAAATGATTTAGATCACAACACAGATCACTACATTATGGTGCAGAATGCTTAACTTGCTTTATGGATATTTTTTGTTGACTGTTTTGTAAACTGTCATTAATCTGTAAGTGATTTGGTGGTATACAAGCGGAGTGAATGAAGAAATGAATAAGCAGGCTTGTTGCTAAAATAAAACATGTATTCATTTCAAAACTTACTCCCAAATATGAGGATAAATGAAGTCACTATCTCAAATATACAAATCCTACTATACAATTGGAAGTATACAAAATTTGAATCAGAGTATCATGCTTACGACACTAAGATACAGTATTTTGATGCCATCCTCTGTATAGTCCTCTACACATATATCAATATACAGTATCTTATCTCAATTGATATTAATAACAGTATTAAGCATTTAGATTTAGGCCTGTGACAAATTAATTTATGAAATAGTTCTAGGAGAAATTGTTTCATGACATCAAGCAAAAAAAGCCAACTACTGGTACTTTTGATAAACAAATCAAATAAACTACAATGTATTTTGAAAACAAACTGATGGTTTATAAAACCATGAAAATTACTTGTTAAAGTGGAAAAACAACCCTTAGATTTACATCAGCAATTTTGTTTTAATCAGTGGACCATCAGATGGATAAAAACAGTACACCCCATCTAAATACTTTTGTTCTAATATATGCCAACAACATATTAAATGTGTACATTAATGAAAGAAAAACTACGTTAATGGACAATCGTAAGACATATACATTTCATGCTTGTAGTTCAAATCTGCACAGAAGTGCCTTTTGAGTATGAATCTCCTTTTTTAGACTGAGTTATTAGAGTTATACTTGGGAAATTACACTATAAGGTTGTGTATTATCTAATTAAAATTCTGTACCCATTTGAATCATTTTAATAGTTCAATAAAAGTCTGTAGAGCTATATTTTACTTGTACCATCTTTCAGTTTACAGTAATAACCAGTTTTGGTGGTAATTACATCACAATGTAATGCTAAAACATTATATATATATATAATAAAGTTTGTTAAAAGTCAACATTAAATGCCCATACAATGCAGAATTCTATATTAAAATTAAGTAGCACTGTTTTAAAGTTTAGAAATCAGTGCTTTTAAATCAAGCAAGCATCTTTTAGAAGATATGCATTCTCATTCAAAAGTTGTGTCCTAAAATATCAGATACTGGGGGACATTATCTAGAGAATGGCTATGGATATTCAATAATATCACTAGCCTATTCCCAGTTAATGAAAGTAGAAGACCATCACCTGATCCGGGTAGACAGTAACAGAGAAAGTGTGCTGTACTATCTGGCTGCCTATCTGCTTACCTGTATATGGAAATTATTCCTTGTCGAATCAGTCTCTGTGTGCTTCTGACAATGATCACCTGCCCTAGGACTGCATCAGCTTCTGGGCCCAGAGTGTAGAAGGAATGGGGTGTGTCATGGTGGGGTTGCTACTGAGAGCAGGGGTAGCCTCTCCAGTCTAAGAGTCCTGCTTTTCAAGACACCTATTATCCAGCATTGAATGAAATTCTAATCTGGCAGGTATCAGAAAGATCTCGCTTATGGAAGAGAGAAGGGTTCATCTGTCCCTGTTCTGTCTGCTGGATTACTCTATAGTACAGCAAGAGAGAATTTCAGGGTGGCAAAGTTGAGTGACCAGAGTCTACAGGAATTCCAAGAGAATGCCAATGTTGAGTGCATGTTGTTTCATGTTATAACCTCATCTCAAGATCTCTCCTCAGAAAAGGGGGAGGAGCATGAAAACACATCACAAAAAGCAGATACTGTGCTGTCAGGCCTCACTAATGATGCTCAGCCAAAAGTCAGTCCTGTTTTCCTACCCTGGACCTAGTAAACTCTGACTCAGACCAATAACTGCCTTCACCAAGGAACCAAGAATGACAACATCTGAAGAGAGAACATCAAAAGACAGTGCTGCAAGAGTGCTCAGCTATGCTGAGATATGGCTGCAGAATTATTCAGGAGTACCTGTAGTAAGCCAGACCTGATTAGGACCATCTGTGCTGGGGTGGAGTCTGCTGGTATTTAAGGAGCAGTTTGGGGTTAGTAAAGTCATAAGAACAATGCTGGTCTGTAAAGGTCTCTATGAATTCCCATCTTTGAATTCTTAGCTGCAAAGACTTGTCTTGGAACTGATTCAGGTTGGCTGTTCCTTTGGACACTGGATTCTCATGAAGCATGAAATTTGGAATGAATTTATGACTTCAAGATAAACCTGATAGATTTATTACAACATTAGCTCAGATCAGCATTGCTATACATTACCAGAACCTGGTATTTTGGTGGCCAGTAGAGTGAAGGAGTACTGTTAGTATAGCATCCCCCCATGGCCTGACCATCTCTTTCCTGAACTAGCAGGGTGATTCTGGGAAAAGCATTGGATTATGCTAGGGTGTGAATGTTTCAAACCAAGTTAATGGATGACTGACAAACCACCAGACCACTCTAATGCTCAGAGAATGGAATAGATCTTCTCTTCGATCCCCATCTCTAATTCTCTATAACACTATTTCTTGATAGCTGGGTTATCATGGAAACTTGATTAACTGATGCCATTTCTATGACTATTGCTTCTTGCACTTCTGCTGCCTACTCTACTTCTAATACTTAAGACCAGCAAATATGGGCTGTAAAAGCTTGGATGGTCACCAGATGGCAGCAAAGAGTTAAGGGTTTTCTGTATCTCTTTAATGCTATCTAAGTTGGCTGGAGGTATGGTAGACCTATTAAGAGATTGGGCAGGCACAAACAGCAATGAGTATGGTAAGGGTTTGCTACACTGCTGCTCACACAAAGGGAGCTCCTCACACTGTTGTTGCTGTTGGCAAGCTGAGATGAACTCCTCAGAACAGGGACATTTTCTTCATTTTGAAGAGTTTGCCTCATATATGAGATACCTTCCACAAACCAGAACATCTGGTCACCCTAAGCACACTCCATCAGGAGTTGCATCTGAGTTCTATTCTTTACCAGTTAGAAAATCTATGAAAACACCTGTATTCTCCAGGCTTTTAACTGTTAAATTGTTTATCCATTTTGGTGAGAAAATCTATGAAAACACCTGTTATTCTCCAGGCTTTTAACTGTTAAATTGTTTATCCATTTTGGTGTTATTTTTAATAAGTTTTTCATGTTTTATGTTCTTTTTTTTTTAATGTTAGTATCCTTGATTACATGCCAAAGTAGAAAGGCAGAGTATCAACTGCATAAATGAAAAATAATAAAAATACCAACACAAAGCAATTCTCCCCAAAGGTACTAAATGCAGATTCTGGAAATACTGGAGAAAATCCATATTATATTTTCCTATACATTAGTCTGCTTCCCAGAGTCTTGTTTAGTTTGGCTTTCTTGAGTAAACACACGTTATTACCATGTAGCAATCTAGAAAATATAAAGAAGGAAGTTTAAATCTGAAACTAAATTAATACATGAAGAAGCTGGTGGTTTATTCCTTCTCTTTGAAAGGTGACACATCATTCAGTTGTAAACCATAATCTCAATAGAAAAAAAATCTAGCATAAAGTTTTCATGGCTTTATTATAGATATATTATTCGGTACCATCCTGTCCTTGCTAGGACTTTTACTTGCATTGATTTATTACACACTACCTAATGGTTGGTTGACTGCAACTATTATCCCTCTTCCCTAATCCCTAAAATATATATAGTTGTAAGAGATAAAATTACCTCCCAAACCCTCTTCCTGATATGGCATTGAAGATGATTAAATTTCTCCTTCAGAAATTAGAAATTTGGCTTGCTCCCTCCAAGAACTATCAAGTTTTAGAGAAGGTTGTTCCACAAGGTTCCATATCAAAATGCTTCTTGAAGAAACACTGCATTTTTGCTAATTTGCATATTATTATTCATAGTGATTAAGGCACTAGGCTAGAAAGAGAGCCACTTTGATGTAGTGGTGAAGGCACCAAGCTAGAAACCAAGAGACTGTGAGTTCTAGTCTCACTTTAGTCACAAAACCAGCTGGGTGACCTTGAGCCAGTCACTTTCTCTCAGCCCTAGGACAAGACAATGGCAAGCTACTTCTGAAATCTTGTCAAGAAAACTGCAGGGACCTGTCCAGGCAATTGCCAGGAGTCGACGCTGACTCAAAGGCACTAAAATAAAATAAAATAAAATAAAATAAAATAAAATAAGGAAGTGACTTCTGAGTAAGATTATAATATAAATGAGAAGATCAAAAGTTTATTTTTGACATCCTATTCTAGGCATGTGATATTGTTCTTGCCCGAAAAGGCACTCTGAAAATGGAAATAATAATGCACAAATATGATTCGCCAGTGGGTCAACAAATTCAGATAAACTAGAAAATCCATTAGGAAAACTATTGTTTTCTGGCCCACATTTTAAAAGAATGACCAGATTGACATTGGGAGAGTATTAGTTGATAAATAACAAAGGAGTTTGTTGCTGTGGGAGCAAAGCTAAGAAAGGGGAAAGCTCTTCTATTTCCTGAAAACAGATATACAAGAAACAGCTGAGGCTGCAGGAAGCTGTGCTAGAAAGTAGTGATAAAGCATCTAGCAAGCAGCCAATCCCCACACCAGCAGATCCCAACACCATCTATTTGCAAAATAATGCTCCCTTTCCTTGTGTAAATAATCCTGTTTTCAGCACTGTATGCCATTAACCAAGAAAAGCAGCATCCCTCTCTAGCTGTGGTATCACTTTCATAATATAGCACCAGGCTACATAAGTACTATAAATCTCTATATTATTTGCAGTGGAAAAGAAGAGAAGCACAACTACAGCTGGCTGCAAACCCCTGGATGACCAATAGATGACAGCAAAGAGTTTATTTATTATATCTCTATCTAGAGGTTGTCTGGATTTTTCCAGTCCCAATCTAGTAGTCCTAGCATACCATATAGACCATCCGTGGATAAGCTGACCCTCAAATTTTTAACCAAAATACCATGAAAAATGCGACACCCGCGGATAAGCCAACCCTCACATGGGTCGTACGTTTTAATTTTCACAATTAGCTTATCTGTGGGTAATCCATGGATTATCTATTTTTCATGATATTTTGGTTAAAAATTCAAAGGTCAGCTCACCCGCAGATGGGCTTATACACAAATATATATGGGATAAGCAGGTACTTTAATTGATTCTGTGATATTTTGGGAAAACACAATTCTGTTTAATTCAGAATATTAACTGAATTATTTGCATATATCATTATCAGCAAACCTCCTATACATATGTAAACATTTTAAATGGTTGCATTTCAGTGGTAAATAGACAATTATATTTGGCATAATGTCACAGAGCCTTCCACAACTATAGCTCAGTACTGATAAAAATGAAAAAGCAATCCGTTCTTGAATTAGTTTCATTAATGAAAGGAGCACACAATTTCTCCCACTATTGTATTTCCTCCATCCAGATCTTAGTGGAGCAGCATAATGAATTATATAGCAGTCCTAGTACCCTTGCTATAACCAGGGCATAGTATAATTTAAATGTTCCATTCCATCCACAAATATTCCCCTAACAGTGGTAAGATGCTTTGTCCTGATTTAGTGGTAATATTACACAGCTAAAGAATAGGTAGAATCCAAACAAAACAAGATTAATTCGGCACTTGGATTATATCTAGGAATTTAAAGACTAAAGAGGAAATATTCTTTTCTACTCAACTTTTAACTATTCTAAGTATGTGAACACAAAAAATAACAATGATGCTGGTAATTAACCTGTCGTTAAGTGATCCTCTGAATATACACTAAACTGAAAACCAGTGACTCAATGACTTCAATACAATTCAAAAGCAACAGCATAAGGTACTACCCGTTTTAGGTTTGTTGAGGAATTTAAAAACTCTCATCTATATCTCTGGTCCCTTAGCAATCAGCCAATTACAGAAAAAGTAATCTGTCTCAATGTGTTCATCAGC